AATATTTTTATTAATCATTTAAAATAACTGTTTTTATAAAATATAAAAACTTCATGCAAATATTTTAAGAAAATTAGAGAAGACTCCGGATAACTGATGTACTTCAACGCCCTTCAAGATTTATTTGTATTTTTGTAACACCCTGTATATGCGCCAACCAATGAGATAACTATTACCTGCGTACGTAAACATTTTTGTCAAAATCCACAAACTTAATAAACTCTCCACTCGTAAGTGGGTTTAATAAATATTTGGTTGTACGAGCTACGGAGTTCTAAAATCAAATGAGATTGCCGCCTTCATAAGCTCGCTAACTTTATAATGAAAATCTTTTGATACGTTCGTTACCCATGAAAGCGTGCGACTTATCTGCGAGGAAACATTTCACCCTTTATCCGACAAAACTAGTCATGCGAGCCAACCCTAAAAACTTGGTACAAACTATTTTCACTACTTGCAAATTGAAATAATTCATCATGGGCTGGTGCTTCACTTTGGTGTTTAGCTTAAAAAGTGTGTTTCTGTGCACGTTGTTATGTGTCGTATCAAGTAAACAAAATGTAATAAGTATGATGAATGCAGTTAACAGGCTTATTTTTAGGTTTTTTACAGTCTAGTTGTATGGAATAAACTATGAAAATAACATAGAGAAAGTTCCAATATTAACGATCACACAACTCAGATGATTATTTCTGCAAGCAGAGCATATATACTTAGCTGATTATAATACCAAAGATTACTCTAATATAACTTTGTTATCGTCAATATCGAATACTAGTAGTATTAGAGTGATACTCACGAATATCTGTTAATAATATTATTGATACACAAAACCAATAATAACCATAAGTAACAGATAATATAGTGAATAGATCAGTAAAGCAAAAAAAGTCATATGTAAATCAAAGGAAACTCAAAACGTGTCGCGAACATTAATTACGTCTTTCGATAGCAATCACATCGTTATCGAGTATTCGCTGCGTTTCGGGGGCAATTTGTCATTGCGAAGCTGAACATTTATTGCGCTGCCTTCTGCATCGTCGGCGGCATGATACGATGATAATCAAATAAATAATTTAATGTCATACTCAGAGACGTCAAAAGCTTTTAAACTTCACTAAAGTTGATCTTGTGAATGTCTGATGAGCTGTTCTGTATTAAAAAAACAGATTTATTTAAAGTATAAAAGGTACTTACTATGTCAACAAACTCTTATTTATCACGATAATAAAGCCAATGAATGTCTACAAAACTCGAATGAGGTTGATGTCACCCTAGTAATAGCTCGAGGCAGCAGCTATGAGAACGTTAGGCGTCTAACCACGGTGGGTGCTTCGCTGGTGATAGACCACATCATGTGTCGAGGTTTCAGTGGCGAAAATCAAGCCAATAATATTTTACGGCCCTTGCCCTCGGGCTAAACTACCTCCAGGAGACCATATCAGAGTGGACGGGGAGATAACTCCAATCAAGCATGAGATGAAATACCTGTGGGTCGTACTCAATGCGAAACAGAAATTTGGTAGAGACTTCAGTCTCTACCAAATTTCCAACATCCCCTGATGCCTCAGTGGCATCAGGGCATGTTGTATCTCCTGAAAGGCGGCATGCGCACTGGTCAGTATGCCCCCTGAAAACTGAAAGCCTTAGTATTATCTGATGTATAGAGGAGAAAGGGCCGCTCCCGAAGATTTGGTGCGAATCAGACGCCAGGCTGAAGGAACTCGGATGGAAGTCCGGTTATTTATCCCCACAGCCAGGGAATATCGGCGATACATACTCGTACATGGAGGAGCGCTTCCAAATCCGTAATCCTATGAATAGAACAGTAATCCTATTCACTGATAGGTAGGAGATTCGGGGCATTGACCTTCAGGATGGTGCAGGTGCTGTTAGGGCACTAAAGATTCGGGTAGTACTTGCACCGTATCCAGAGGGAGGCGGCGCCGCTGTGCCACGAGTGCGGTGCTGCGCTGTAGACACAGCATGGCACTCGATAAGTTTCCGGCATAGTTGAAGCAGCGCCTCATTCTGGTAGTGGCTGTGGGACAGGATTTCTTCCCATCGTGAACTGTCCAGTGTGGTACGTGCCATCCTGAGCGGTGACAGCTACTGCAAGGCGATGGCCTCCTTCTGCTAGATGACATCCTCGCAGCCGCAGAGAGGGTACACGGGGAACAAGCCCCCACGGGCTTCCTCCGAAACAGAAGAGAGGGGATTGGGAGGTGGCGAGCTCGACCTTTTAGCCCCCTAGCGGGCCTTCAGGAGGGGATGTACGGCTGCATTATAGCGAGGGGGTAGTGGGACCATTAGACATGATCCGCAGTGATTCCGGGTACCCGTAGTCATGTCCGATTAGTGCGGGATAGTTTGGGGGAGCTGTTGTACCTAGTAGGTATGGAAAAAAAGGCTGACTATCCACAATAGACCACAGTTACGGAACAGGTGGCTAGCCATTTGGAGCAGGATCGTGTTGGAGGGCGTGTAAGTTGTTGGTACTATCATACCTTCTGGAGCATATAGGAGCTCGTGAACGTTTGGTCACCTATCTCAATAATAGCAGACAAAACAACAACATAAATGTGCCATTTAGCTCATACAGCCAGCAAATTATACCCAACTTTAATTATACGCAATTATTTCGAATGTAACGCTGTTTAAACGCGTATACATAAACTCAACCTATGTATTAAATCATACCAAATCTTTAGAGTTAAAATTATCCTATTTTTGTATATGTACCTATATGTTTATGTAACCGTCTACATATGAAATAATGTCTACACAATGATATTTACACCACTTATAAAAACGGATGTGTCCCTCTAAAAGCTAAAAATCTTTTTATTTAAAGCTAAATGGAACACATAAAATCAGGTGGACCAAAGAACATTAAGGGGCTTATAAAAAACACGCCATTAGCCAAACGGGAACAGTAATTCACATTATATTTCATAACGGAACGAGAGGCCAAAAGACACCACTGTATCCATTTGTGATAATATGTTACGTAGCGCCCGCTGTCCTTAGATACAAAGTCACTAGAACAGTCACATTTGTAACTCGTATAATAATACGATACAAAGGCATATTACCCTTTGTGAAATATTACTATACCATTTATCTTATTCACATTACCTACTTTCAATAATTTCTTTACTAATAAAGAGGCATGTGAAATTCATGCACACAAATTCCACTACAGCATCCAATATACATTTAATGCTATGTTTTTAAAATTTCTTTAATAAAATTAAATACAAGCTTCGTGTTACGACTTCGTCCGCATTATATTTAGAGTTTGTTTAGGATATCACAGGATTCTACAATTTTCCGGGATTAAAATTATCCTGTCTCAATCCGTGCAGTAGTTTTTGCGTTATTCAGTAACAAACATACAAATATAGAAACTAACCTACTAACTATCACAATATTTACTAATATTTTAAGCTGAAGAATTTGATTGTTTTGTTAAACGATTTAATCTCAGGAACTACTGATACAAATTGAAAAAATATGTTTGTGATAGATAACCCATTTATTGAGAAAGGTTGTAGGCTATATAACATCATGATAAGACTAATATAACAATAACGGAGCATCAAAGAAGAATGTTGCGAAAACGGGGAAAAAGATTACTTTACAGAGCTTTCATTGCGTGCGCTGCGTAAACGGTTAAAGTTACACAAAATCTCATATTCAGATTTTTTTCCTTTAAAAGTTCTAAAAAAAAGTTAGCAGCAACAGAAGTCTATCTTTTAGGGTTGACACACTATATAATTTGCGAAGATGCTTTTATAAACATGATATCAACCTTTATCATAATGAAGACGTTATTTATCAGAAGTATTTCATTTTTTACAAATTTTGCCCCGGAATTATTTCATTGATTATTCATTAAAATAATTCCGGGATTCTCCTTACAAAATATCATAGTTTTAAAATAAGTCCGTAACAAATTAAGGAACGTACAACGTGCGCATTTATTATAATAAAAAGGGGAAGGTGGTCACGCCAGCCTAAAAAAATAAGAAAAGATTTTATTATCTGTGGGTATTTGTTACTTTTTCCATTGCCAAAAAAGTATGAAGCTTTTTCGCGTATGAATAACCCCAGCAATATATTATATTGAATGTTCCACAAGCTTTCACACCTTATATCGTTTACATAGAGTAGCCCTGAAAGAAAGCAGAGCTCTTTCCTTCGCCATAAAAATCATGTTAACCATCTACGTACCTACGACAAGTTGTTTTATTCCAACATCAACGCGAACGTAGTCAGTCATCAAGGGTTAGCTAGTTATAATTATAATGTAGGATAAGTACCTTTGCTTTCAATACAATAAAAAAAAGATCAACTTTTCTATATTCATAATAATCTAGGGCTTGCATACAATACTCAAAAACACAATAATAATAATAATCTTCCCAATAAGAAATTGATGTCACCTCAACTGTGTATTTATCTGTGTCACAGACAGGGCGCCCGGTGCCGGCCCGCGAATCCTGTGAGCGAATCTTTGATATGAAATTCTTTTAGAACGGACCGCACGTACCCAGCCCGCATTCACTCATATTTTAGATAACGTTCGACTGTTTCTGTGCTCCGCAAACGGAATGTGAATAAAAATACGAATATTTTTACCCACACGCCGTTGATGCTCGAGTACGAAGACGCTGCGATATGTATGTTGAGATAGCAGTAAATATCTGAACTGATTATGCTCTTTGGCGTATTTGAACAACTCGCACCTAACAGAAATATACTGAGCATTCACCTGTGGCCGTACATTCAAAGGACCTTTTATATTTTATACAAGCCGCAGTAAATTACCGCACCCCGTCTGATAATAAATGTGATTGATGTCCTGGCGACATAAAACTGATGCAGCAGAGCAATGCACCGCTCTAGCATCCTCGTATTGCCAGCCTAAACCAAACCCTCAAGAGATGGAGTCGTTTCACGCCTTTGTCATCACTAACACAACCCCATTTTTGCAGATCTTTGTCGGCGAGTTATGCTGTAACGGAATCAAAACACAAAAGAACAACATGAGTAGATCAAAGCGAACGACCAAACTCAGGAGTGACAATAGATGGCAGCACCAAACGGTCACACGCTGAATAAAGATGGCAGCAGGAGCACACACGCGTGGCGGAGGACCTCTGGCACGACTACTAGTCCTAGCTATCCTACACGTCAATTTTATTGGTAAGTATTCTCTAACAATAAAATAGTGTAGAGTTACGAAACAGTTCTACAAAGTTATTCGTAACACACCTGCTACGAAGTTATTTGTGGCAAAAGTTCCTAGATAAGCATGAAACGAATTTTGATGTTGAAATCGGCGCAAACATATCAAATAAAAATAAAAGTGTAACTATACTAGTCTTCTAAGATTATATATACGAATAAAAAAACGAAAACGAAAACGACATATACGAATTCAATGTAGCAAGCTATTTATTTATTTAAGACAGAAATGTAAACGAACTTAATACTAATATAAAAAGCGCTAATTCTAAACCTTTATATGAAGATGCATCTAAAGTTGACATTCGGTGTATCTTGATCAACCCACTCTAGCATTGTTTTTAATTCTGTAGGATATTAAGCGGCGAAGCTCAGGATACACAAAATGTTGTTCTTTAGAAAACGCGCTCGGAATGATCAAATATAGCTCAGGACTGATCAATTTGAAGATCCTTGAATAAAAAAGAGCTTTCAATAAGTCAATTTGAATAAAGTATATTTTAATTTCATTTAATTTAGTGGAAGCCTATGCTCAACAGTGGAGCATCATTTGTTTAAATGATGATCATGAGGATATTTCTAATACCTATCGACATTGATTCTCTTCTTCTTCTTCGTCCGTCCCTGTTCTATTTATTTGGTATCGGGTGTTTTCACGTGCCAGGGTTATCTATCTCTGGTTGTCTTTTTTATCTTTGATATGAAACATCATATACCAATATTTTTTTCTCTCTATCCCATCCACAGGGAAATCTTATGTCCCATAAGGGGGGACAATAATAGGCTGATGATGATGATTTTCTTTCCTCAGATTTTTCTCAATATTAAACTTCCAGGTCAGAAAAGGGCGCCTTTTTCACAGCCCTGCAGTTGCATTACGTGTTTGTGTAGTTCAAATAATACGCAATGAAAATGCCAGTCCTTTAAGCTGTGGGTTAAGCCGTTAAGTAAATGCACCTTAAGCAGTAGATCCTCGATTCATCTGCAATAATAGTGGTTTATAGTGTTAGGTTTAAATTCAAATTAATCAGCAGAAAAATCACTGAAAGCCAGCCCGACACCGTTAGTATAGACATGTCAAAAGAATAAGTGAAAACCATGTTATTACAAGATGCTGCTAGAACATAAAAGTATGGGACGAAAATTAGAAGAAGAAGAAAAAAATAGCCAAGCGCGAGTCTGGCCTCGTTCTATTAAGGTTTCATACAATTGACTTATCCTTTTATTGAAGCTACCTAATATCATTGATTTATGAAATAGTTGGTTTTCGAGCTAGACATTGCAATGAACAGCGAAAGGTACAATAATTTGTTTTTTTTTTAGTCAGAACTTACAAAATACATACATAATGAATCGACGTTTTCAGTATTTGTTGTTTACATACAGCAATGAGACATTTACAAAAATTTTACATTCTTAACTAATTTTGATTTTGAGATAGACCCCGTAACAGAAATAGTCTAAATTTACAGCTCTTACGGCCCCCCCTTATTTCTCTGTTATTGAAAACAAAAAAAGCTTGTTGAGTAAGATGTAAATATAACATCTTGCTCAACAAGCTCTAGACAATGATATGCACATGTTGGAGTAAAAAAATAACTAAATACTCAGCTGTAGGCAAGCATTCAACATAAAATACCAAAGTTTCATTTCTATAGCTCATTCCTTTAACGATCTAGAGACCCGTGATATACGTACAGACAGGCAAACGACAGAATGGCAGCAATAGGGTTCTGTTTTTACCCTTTGGGCACGGAACCCTAAAAATTAACTGAAAAACTAACACTTTTACCTCTATCTAACTAATCGTATAAGGGATGTGCCGTAAAATTATGTATGTACCTACCTTTGTTTGAAATGCTACTAACACACCACAAATTTTAATTTGAGGTAGAGTACTAAATCCCATTCGACCCTTAACGCAAAGATGTATTTAATGCAGCTTTATGATATTTGACTAGGACGCCACGTGCGACGACCTAAACACAAACGGGACGTTATCAAGTGCCACATTCGCTCCGCATGCCTTGTCATATATTTTTCACACTAGATGTTACGAGTATTTCACAAAATGCATACAGTCATCCTGCAAAGTGAAAACTGTGTTTCATGGCAAACTATACGTTTTGCCAACATTTAAAAACACTTTTGCAGATTGGACGTTGTTGGGTGATTTTTGTGCTTGAAAGGTACGAGGATCTCACACAAATTAGGTTTATAATATTAAAGCTTTCCCACTTCGGAAAATAGGAAGTTTTTCGTCGAGCCGACACGAGTAACCTTCATAGAGAATTTTCAGGTCCGTAAAATATTTGCGTACTGTTATTTATTCAAATATGGGATAAAGCACCTAGAGGCTTGTTTCAAAGAATGACGATAATGATTACAAAACTAGAGAATCTCTAGTAAAAGCACACTAATATGAGAAAGTAACTGATATTGGATCTGTATATCTGTATGGCAAAGAGATTGTTGGCAGAAGCCTATGTCATGCGTCATTCCATGATTTAGTGATTCACCATAGGACGTAGACATTGCTCAAACGTTGACGCTACCTAAATCTGCACAACAACTTTTTAATAAAAGCGACATAATATACAAATATATATGAAATGACTAGCTTCCGTCCGCAACTTCGTCCGCTTTATAGTTAGTTTTTTTTTTCAGAATAAAATATATCCTATGTGTCCAGTCTAAGTAATAAACTATATGTTTGCCAAAATTCATCAAAATCCGTTCAGCCCTTTTAGCGTGAAGGAATAACAAATATCCACACATATACAGGGCGTTCTACAGCATTGCCACACGGAGGGAAAGTATATTAAATATTGAGGATAGGATATTTTACTAAAAAAAGATATCATTTAATTTTTATTAATTTTTAGAACAACATTCACAGATTTTTTTAAAAAACCTGCCACAACAGGGAATAAAACTCGTGAAATTTGAAAAATAAAAAACACATCGCGTATTTTATGATAACCGTCGAAAGGGTTAATCATAAGGATTATTTTTCCCTAAATAACATAGCATTTTAAATGTTGTCTAGTCATTGGATGGATGACCAAAAATTTACTATCTCGAGCTAAACCAATTAATCCCGGATGCATCACATTGGGCCCGCGTGGTGGCTCATGGCTCAATCTCCCTATTCTATCTATAGGGAACACATGTACCCCTGCAGTGGGCTGGGCCCTAGCTGATAGGCTAGAGACCCATAGCCGATTATGAAGATGATGACTATTATGAAGATGAATTGGAATATATATATAATATATATTCAAATTTTATAATCCACATCTAATTATATAATTAGTGTGGTCCCTTTATCTCTGGAGTAAGAAATCCAACTTGCAACAAGCTGGCACTTTAATTACTTATGCTCGTCACACAAGTTTCTAGCCCTGGACCAAGAAGCAATTAGAGATACCAACAATATCCATAGTTACATATTTGGATCTTCGTGGCTTATATAAAATCACAAGCATCAAAATATTTCGATATGGCTTGAATAAAATCCGTTGCTACAAAGGGACATTCACAAATGGATTTTTATGCTATACAGCTTTCGAGATGATTCTTTCACGATGTAAAAATATAAAGCGATTTGCAGAGCAGGTACGTTTAACCCTCACAGGGCTCAAAGCGTAGAATCCTCAATGAAAAACGGGCACGGGTCGAAATGTCACCACGCACCCTATAAGGTAAGCTACACACATAAGCGGGACGGCAGAGTCAGTTCGACAGTATTTGTCGAACAACAAAGCCGACCCGAAATAATTACTGCACTGGTTCGGCTTCATTCGGGTCGACACATCATTCGATTCGGTAGTACTTGTGGAACGAAAAAGCCAACCCGCAGCAACTACTACATACGTTCAGCTCCAATTGGTTCGGTTTTCATTCGGTCGTCGTCACTCGGTTTTCTATCTTCATTATCACCGATTTTGAAGGCAACTTCGCATCCAGTATCTTCGGGATTTTCGTAGTAAAGAAGCGGCAATAACAACAAATCTTGCAGAAACTAACAAAACGTCGTATTCGTACCACTTTCTTAGCTGAATTAAATTCAAGCCGACCAGGTTGTGATGCCCAAGCATTCAACTACATAATTCGGTTTTACAGCCTGGCCTTTCCGATGACTGCCGGCCCGCTGATGCTGGCCGCCTAGTGAAAGCCGAGCGGTCTTTTCTCGAACATTTATCTACATATATTTGATTTTACCGCTCGGCTGTGCCGTTTAATGCCAGCCCGGTTATGTGTGTAGCTACCCTTACATGCGTGTTGCTAGCAAGCGCTGTTAAACAAAACGCCATTGATATTAAAACCTTGGGTCGATATACTCGCAATTGTACCCATTTGGGTGCACTTAGACGTATTGAAGCATAAATAAATAATTTATCGTGAATGAGAACTTCCGTATTTCAAAACAATTTTATTTTGGTAGTTTATTGTATTTGAATATTTAGCATTTAACTGTGTGATTTTTATCTAAAGAAAATGTCTCGTTTGATTCTAAAAAGTTAGCCAAATTAAAGCTAAATGAAGAAGTGTCTGCTAGTTGAAGTCATATGAGGTATAAGTATGATTTCCTTTTAATGTAATTTAAGAACATTAATGCTAGTGTCTGATTTATATCTAATGTGGAGAGAAAAAGTATATCTCACAAGGGTTTTAATTTCAGTATGACATGTTGCCATAGTCGTGTCGAAGCCACGAAAAATCATCAGCAGATTAGCTCACATGTCGACACAGACTGATGAGAGAGGATGTTGACGTATTGCATGGTTGTGTAGCTCGTCAATTTTGGACATCCTTTGTCTGGTGCTGCGATCTGAGCAAACAATGAATCGAAATTTAATTAAATTTGCCAAAAAATAAAAGAGAATCGTGTATTGTAGTTCCGCTTGATAAAAAAAATCATAAAATGAACAAATTTTTTTTCCACTTGGAGAGGT